ACCTTGACGATTATCGGAACTTTTCATCGAATGGTAGCTAACACATACGAGATGGCGGATCTACCGCCCGTGATTGACCTGTTCGGACGGGAACTCCAACTCATGGATTACCCATGGAGAATAACCCGCGCCGCGATACTTGCGTTCATCCGAAATTGCAGGGACGCGGATGTCCAAAATAAATTCTAGGAGTATCTGGAAAAGCAAGAAGCACCAAATCGACGGATATAAAACTGAAAGTCCGGAATAAAATACGTCAAGAAATTCATACGACTCAGAATATAACGCTAAAATCACAAATCGAAAAATCAAAAATCAAAAATATAATTGAAAATGAATTTTAAGGGACGAAAAAGAAACATACACGACTAAGTACCCCCGGAATATCACGGAATTTCTGCAGATATAACGACGTAATAGTGTCGTTCACATTTCCAAACAAACGAACAGATAGAAGATAAAAGACCTAAAGCAGTGGAAACGAACCAGTAAAGAAAAAGTACTCACCTGGAAATGAAGGAAAATCCACGGCCATGAAAGTAAACAAGAACAGAACGACAAACAAGGCCAGATTCGAGTCAGTATAAATAATCAGCGGAGTTATAGGCAAGTACCACAGTAAAACGAAACTCCGACAGAGAGGAGAGTACGTGAGTAGCACGCATAGAATCATTAGATATAATGAAAGTAGCTCCAGATTAAGGGCATGTTGGAAATCGACGACAACAAGGACAACACAGAGAGCGACTGCAGGAGATCCTGAGGATAGATGATGAGTACACTTCAAGCATAGGGAAAGTGGCGGAGAAGGACTGGGAACCAAGGGTATAAATATTGAGGATAGTGGCTGAAATGATTACCTGAGCAGTGAGGTAGAAGGGTAATCGTGACTGGTGACGCATGCCATGGACATTAGGTGTATGTTGTGAAAGTAAAACCTCGCACGTTCTGTCAACATTTGCATGTGTATGTTGTGAAAGTAAAACCTCGAACGTTCTGTCTACATTTGCATGTGTTTATCTCTATGCACGGTGCTTAGAACTTGCGGGCGGTAACCGCGATGATTGGCACTGAAAAGACTTGTCTCTCTTCCATTTTACATTCACTGTTTTTATCTCTCTCTCATTATTCGTAACCCTTTTCTTTCATGATATCATAGCAGCGATTTGTTGGAGATTATTATAACTGGAGATTACTGAACGATTTTTGGAGATTCTATTTTATTTATCTAGTGTGTACTGAAGACGATCAACGACGCTGTGGGGCTTTTTATCGATTTCAAGTACGAAGCCTACCTACCTGACGTCCCCAAGCTTCAAGGAAGATGTCGCGTTCGTGATCATCGTCGGACAGGAGGCGGCGCAGACACTCATCAACATCTTCCGGATCTCAAGGGAGGAAGCCCTCAAGAAGGGGGAGATTGAAAACTCCGAGAGATAGAAGACATAAGTCAAGATCACCATCGTCACAGAGAAGGAGGGCGGCGTCAGAATCTCCAAAGTGGTTCTCGAGACCATTGTGGGAGCAAAGACGGAATGATTTCCCCCCACCGGGAAATCATATAGTGGGCTTCGGCGTCTGTGTCAAAGTGTCGCATTTTTGGCGGCGGGCGACCAGGACGCAAGTGGGTTTTTCGGGGGCAAAAAAAATTGGGGGACCAGTCCTTGGCAAAATTGCGGACTACCTACAGCTAGCTCTGGTAGAACCGG